GGTTCGCTCGAGCATCGAACCCCGAATCGGCAATCCGAGTAGGGGCGCGGAATTCGCAGCACATCACGACCCGCACCTGCGAAGCGCATGGAATCGAATCGCCGATCCGACCATCGGGCAGCCGTTGTCGACAACCTGAGCTGGCGATGCTCTTTTTTTCCGTGCGCCCAGGCGTGCTGCTTCGACTATCACTGCGGCCATGGTGCATCTGGTGGCGTCTCCCAAGAAACTTGCGCAAAGCCAGCCCGCTGCATATCTTCCAGCTCGCGCTGCTTCTCGCCTGGCCTAGAAGGTGCATCGGCCATGTTCATATGGCTTGGCACGTAAAGGCAATAAAATAGGAGACCAGACCGGGCAACGCGTAGCCAGAGATCGCCCACGAGATCATTCCAGTCGGGTTGCCTGGATGACCCGCGGAGCAGCGTGCTGAGGGCATTAGTGTTGTCGACAAACAGGCAAACCTCCAGTTCGCCCTTCTGGCGCCTCAGCACCCACTCCAAAACGCAGATCGCTGCAAGCAATTCCCAGGTCGCTACTTGATTCTTCCTGTGGCGCACCCACTGCAGCAGCGGTGGCTGGACAGTGAAGGTCGCCCACGCGCGGACACCGGGCACTGCCACAACCCAGCCGAGATTCCCCGGCCAGTCGCATCGGAATAAAGAACGCAGCGAATGCGGGCAACAGGCTGCCTGCACCGGAAAACGCGGCAAGGCACGCACTCCAAGAATCGGAGCCACCACTCGAGCGCCCGGGCCACGCGGCCAGACAGGCGAGACGAATTGCGGGAAGAATGCCAAAACAAAGGTGCCAGATGCACGCGGGCTGCTTTGCCAAAAACTGCTGAGGCACCCCAGCTGAGCCTGCCTGCTAGTTTTCCTGCTTCAGCAGGGTGGAGAATCCCGGACTCGAGAATTCCTACAATCTGCGCGCTCCACTGTGACGACAAAGCCGGGCCAATGGAAACATGCACCTCGGAGGCGTCCTGGGCAATCTCCACGTCTGCGCCAAGCACGGTGGCCGCGCTCGCCTCCGACACACGCTTGGAAGCATCAAGCCCCCAGCCAAGGATGTCAGAAACGACCTCGCGCACGACCTCAGAAGCGCCACTTGGCGATGCCGGTGGGGGCGCGCCAGCAAACACGGCGTCAGCGCCGAAAAGGTCGTCGACGAAGCGTAAAAACACGACGCAGAACAGTTGCGCCAAAATTGCGCGCACTGCAGAGCCGAAACGCTCCCAATTATATACAGACGCCGATGCCCCAAACGGGCACGCTAGAAGCTGCAGCGCCTGGCCCTCGGTCGCTGCCGGTTCCCAGGTCGCCACTGCGAACTGCAGGTGCGAGCTCGCCAAAGGAAGAGTCCTGAAGGCGTGGACAAAATCTTCCTTCCTTAAGCGCGCCCCCACTTCCAGAAAGGAGGGCGCGCCGCAAAAGCGCCAGCAAGCTGTCGAGAGTATCCTGCTCGACGGTTTCACCTACAGAAACCGCTGCGTTGACGCCAGAGGCTGTAAAATCGTCAATGCAGCGGACCTTGGGCACCCACGCGCCGTCGAGCTGAACCCAGCCCTCATGCACCGGAAAACGGGCTGTGAGGACGCACGAAGCCTGCAGACGGCGCCAGCGCGCGTGCCCTGCTTCCACTTCTTTCGCGCACTTTGCTTCGAAAGCTGCACGAACAGCGCCCCGCGCCCTGCTGGGCCTGGAGACTCGGCGCAAAGTGTCTACATTCCTTTCTTTGGCGCGCAAGCGCAAAGACTCCGCAGTTTTCGCTGGAGTGCTGTATGGGATCTCGGGCAGAACGCCACTGCGCGGTATTGCGCCAATAAGAGGGAATCCCTGCTCTAGATCTGTAACTAGGCGGCCGTCAGGCCAATTAATTGCGCGAAGCATCTCGCTGAGAACAAGCATATTTTTCTTCGGCCCAAGAACGGAGCGGACGTGGGCCGGCAAGGATGCCCACCGCCGCTGCCATTCAGGTTCCAGCACGCGCTTGCGCTCCCGCCAGTGCTTCAAACTATCGAGCCGAGCTTGCGCAAGCGCATCGGCGCCGAGGGCTTCCACCCGGTCAGCCCACACGGACACCGCATCAGGCAGCCGAGGTGGCAGCTCGGCAGACGGCAGCGAGCACGCAAAGACGCAGTGATCCAGAGGGTTTTTACCAGCCGCTGCAAGATCCATTGAAAACTGCTGCACTAAATCCCGAATCTGGCCAACGCCAGCACTGCTGGGATGTTCCACTAAAAAACTTTCGCCGCTACTTTAGGAACCATGGCCGTCGTTGGCGATACGCCGGCCAGGAAGGGAGCGAGAGATACGCTCGGGACGCTGGAAGCCGAAAAGTGCGCACCGGCGCCTCGCGAGCCGCTGGGTTCTCACTTTTGCTTCCATCCGCCCTGCTGCCACTTCCCCTGCTGCCAGCCGCCCTGCTGCCACTTGGGACTGCGGGAGCGCGGCGGCTGCGCAGGCGAAAGCGACCGGGGCGCCTGCTTGGAGCTGCTGGCCGCCGAGCCCTTCCCTGCTTTGTCCCCTTTGGAACTGGCCCCTTTTCCTCCGCTCTTGTTGGACGCTATACGACAGCATCCGACGCCCTGGCGCGGACTTTGTTCAACCCTTAAAGTGTGTGCACTTTCATGGGTGGGTCATCGGCAGAGCCTGTTTGGTTGCCTCGCCCACGGCATAAGCGAGGATCACTGGCAGAGCCTAGTTGGTTGCCTCCCCCGCGCTTTGCCCCAACACGAAAACGGAAGACGGAGAAACGGCCAGCGCGGGCACAGCCGCACGGAGCCCACCACCACCTGCGGCCAACAGGACTGCGCGGAGCAAGAAACCCCCAGGCCACACAGGGGCCTCCAACGGCAACGCCGCCACGGCAGCCTGGCCGAGAGCGCCGCCGCCGGACAGGGCAGCCAGGCCCAGGACACACGACAGACACGACCAACAGACAGACGACAGCGACCGACGGACGGCAGAGCAGCAGCAGCAACAGCCGCAGCAGCAGCAGCACGCCGCACCAGGCGGCCAGTCCGCAGCCCCCCTGGGAGGCAACCAAGACGTGAGCACCCAGACCGGGCAGATCCAGCCCTTTCGTCAATTTTCCCCTGCGCAAACGTGGGTCCCTGGCCTTGCTGCCAAACCCCAGGCCCGTGCCCTTGCTGGCCAGCGCCTCCCTCGTCACTGGCGGGCGCTTGGTCGTCACTTTCGCCAATGTGTTCGGGTACCTGGCGCATGCAGGTCCCTGGCCCGTGCCCTTGCTGGCCAGTGCCTTGCACAGCTGGGTCCCTGGCGCAAGCCAAACCCTGGGCATGTGCCCTTGCTGGCCACCGCCTTCTCGTCGCAAGCTGGCGTCCCAGGCTGCCGGTTGCTTGCGGTCCTCGTGGCCGCGCGCTCTCGCGCGCGTTGCCAATGTGAAGGGTTCTTGGCAAGCGCTGGCCGTGCCCTGGCTGGGGGTCTCTGGCGCAAGCCACCCCCAAGCCCGCGCTCTTGCGGGCCAGTGCTCTGCACCTGCGCGGGGGCTGCTGCTGTCTCGTCGCAGGTCTGCCGGCCAGGGCCGCTCGCCGCCGCTCCTCGTCGCCGGTGTGTGGTTTTGTGCTGGCTGGTGTGCCTCGATCTGCGTTTCCTTGCCTGGGTCGCCGGTTCTTTTGGTTGGTGCCCCTCGCCGCCCTGTTGCAGTGCCCTGGCCGCTGCCAGGCCTCCGGTGCTCGTCGGCAGGGGCAGGTGCGTGGAGGCGTTCTCTGGGCCGCGCTCAGTATTGCATTTGGGGCGTGGTTCTGCGCAGTTCCATGCAAGCGCGGCCAGTATTGCTCTCGGGTGCGCTGGCGCGCAGGCATGCGCGGAGAGGGACGCGGATTCGCGCGTGCTCTCAGCAAAAAGCCATGCGTTGTGGCAGGGTGCCGCTCTTTTTGGGTTCGGCGTTCGTTTTTTGCGCGGTCTCGCGCGTTCAAAACGCAATCGTTGATTGCGTGTGGTGTCGACGCACATTCGAATGTGGCGCGACCTCGCCGAATCGGCGTGGGCAAGGTGCAAAGCGCGGTCTCTCGCAAGTGGCGCGATTTCGCGCCTGTGGCCGCATTTCGTGACCAGCGATATGTGCGCAATCCGCCCGTTTACGGGAAGTTGCAGTCCGGAGTGTTTGGTTGGTTGGTTTCGCGTCGTCGGGCGCGAAAACTGGGATCTGCGCGCTGGCTGCACATTGGCTGCAGTCGGGCCGCCGCGTAGTCCGGACCCGCGAGCCAGAAGGAGGGGCTACGGACACTTTGAGCACTCGGGGTCGGATGTGTGCAGGCGGCAGAAGCTAGTCCTTAATGGGGGGGCATTGGCTAACCCCCCACCTGCACACAACGAGGGCGGGCGTGCTTTGCACTTGTGCAGCGCGCCCGTGCTCGACCGACTCCGGGGGGCCTGCGTCCCAAACGGCGCGTACTCGGAATATCCATGCTGACGCCCGTTCACCAGCGAACTCAGAATTAAATTCTGGTGTGGCTGCTAAAAATTCGGCAGTTGGGGCTGCAAGTGGAAGGATTTCCCATGGGAATTTGCCCCATCGGATTTCGGTAGTTTTTCGGCCCAGCAGGAGATTCAGGTCGGCAGACTGAACAGGCTGCCCAGTTAGCGTGGGGTCGGCCAGCATCGCCATGTAGCGAGGGACGTGCGCAAGCCCTCTCGCAGATCGTCCAAATGGACACGGTCGCCTAAATGGGGCGCTCCATCCATCATGTCATTCTGTCTGTCTTTCGCATCGCACGCTTCGATGGGCAGTCTGTTTCAGCCCGGCTTCCTATGACGCCGTCTGCTGGCCTGGGTGGTGCATCCAGGCCGCAGAGGGGGATAGGAGGCGGGAGGGTCTTCTGCTCATTTCCCTGACACAGCAAGCACATCGTCTCAGCGCCGGTCACTGGCTGTGCGGCTGTCTTGCGTCCCTGTTGCCTTTGAGGCTCGAGTGTCGCAACAGTGCATTGTCCAGTTGAGTGTCTGTGCGGTTCTTTGCCTCTTCCAGAGAGCGGCATGGCGCACACTCCTGCAGACATCGTGGCAGATCTGGCCACATTGCCCGAAAGTGCTTTCGCTGGTGCGTCCGTGGACTCGCGGAACGCGTTCGTGGAGTTCGTGGCGTGCGTGGACGAGAACGCCCGGGCAAAACACGACATCCGGTTCTACACTGGTGTTGCGCGTGCCATGGCTGAGGTGGTTCAATCCGTGCACACAGAGGATTTCGCAGACGAGTTCATCCGTGACAGTTTGCGCACCGGGTTGACAGTCGGGGACAAACCCTTTTCAGATGAAGGCTGGAAGGAGTTCACATTCACACCTGCCATGATGGCTTTGGCACTTCGTGTGCAGAAGCGTTGTCAGGCCAAAGACATGAAGGAGCAGCCGGCTGCCTCTGGCACGTCCTCTGGCTTGGAGCAGGCGATGGAAAAGTTTGTCAATGCGCAAACAGCTGCTGTCACGCCGCCTGCGAAGCTCGGTCTTTCTTTTGACCTAGCCAAACGTTTGGCCAAGGTGGGCCTCGAGAACTTTCCACAAGATGGCCTGCCCTCCGAAGAGAATCTGGCGAAGTTTGAGCAGGCGGGAAAAATGGCCGCTTCCAAAGGCCGGCGGTACGTGGGCAGTGCAGACGGGGAATGCCTCCAAACGCACCACAGGCCCGAGTGGTCGCGCACGCCAGTGGTGCAGGTCGTCCCGACAATCGGCTCTCTTGAAGATAAATTGAAAGCAGTGTTGGACGAAAAGAAAGCCAGGGAAAACGAACTCAAGTTGGATTACATGGGCTTCGCTACCTTTGTCGGTCACATATTCCAATGGGGCATCAAGTGCGTGCTCATGGAAGTGTGCACTCAGACAGATTTGCTCGCGTACATTTTCAACCTCTCCCACATTACAGAGGAGCATGGCGGCGTCCGAGTGTGCTATCAGTATGACGTGATGCAGCGTCGCGCCATGGCTCGCTCTTTGGAGCGGGGCGACGAGAGCGTGTCCGACTTCTTCTGCAAGCTGGACGACGACATGGTGCGAAAGGCAGCGGACAAGGTGAAGCAGCGTGGCGAGCAACTCAGCAAGTTCACTGCTAAGTCTGTTGCGTCTGGCAGCTCCAGCGCCTGCGGCAAAGGCGGCAAGGGCACCGGCAAGGCGGGGTTCCCCAAGGGCGCCGACAAGGGCGAGCCCAAGGGCAACCGGAACACGCTGTCGCCGCAAAGGCCCCCGAAGCGGCAGCGAGACGATGACACTGCGTCCTGGGGCAAGTCGAGCCAGTGGCAGGGCTGGAAGAAGCAGTACAAGAAGTGAGCTGGTCACGACAGCTCCGATAGCGACGCACCCGGGGAAGACGACAGCGAATCGGAGTTGGATGGACGCGTCCGGTTGGAGACCGGCGTTCCCGATTCTGCTGCGCGCTCCGCAGAACGTAAAGATTTCCTTTACGAGTTTTGCGCTGCGGTGCGCGATTTAAATTCTGACAAGGCCAAGTGTGCAACGATGTGCCCGGCTGATCACTTTGAGTGGGCGCTCGCGTTGCCACTTGTCGTCCCGGGCATTTGCTTGCCTGTGATTTTAAAGAATGCGCTGTGCAAAGCTGCCGACATGTCGCCGGCACAACTGCATGAACACCGCGCAAGTGCTGTCTCTCATTGGGAGGAAAGGAAGCGCGTGACGGACCCACTCTGGCGGCAAACGTTTTCTCGTTTGCCTTTGCAATGCCAGAGCGTTTTAGGTCCTGAAAAGAATCTTTTCTTGTTGAGGGAGATGCTAGAATATATCAGCTGGCCAGACGCCGAGCTTGTCAATAGCTTAGCTTTCGGTTTCCCGATCGTAGGAAATTTACAGCCGAGCGGGATTCAGCCTGCCAGGGCTGCGTGTGTCTCCGCAACGACGGTGGAGGAACTCCATCAAAATTTTGATGAACGCAACGCCTGCACTTTGAACAGGGTTCGTCGTTCCATAGTGCCTGACCTAGAACTTGCAGAAGCGTTCCGCAACAAATGCTTGCAAGAAGTAGCAGAGCGTAAGGCTCACTGGATTTCGCTTTCTCGCCATCGCTGTCTTTTAACAGCCCGATTCCCTGTCGACGAAGGTTGGCAGGAACAGGGCGGCCGTAAGCGTCGCAAGGTGCGCTTGATAGACGATTTCACTGACAACGGTGTGAACAGCGCCACAGCGATCCCCGAGGAGATGCACCACGATTCGCTTGACACTTTAGTCGGCGTTGCGCGGGCGTGTGTAGGTGGCCATCCCGGCGCTACTTTCCTGTTCAGGAAAGATGATTTCAAGTCGGCTTTTAAAACGCTGCCGATTCGGAGCGAGCATCTGCAATTTGCCGTTGCAACTTGGGCTGAAGCAGAGCGCAGTGATAGAGGTTTGCAGCTTCTCTCGTGCCCGTTTGGGTCGGCTGCGTCTGTATTTGCGTGGCATCGCTTTGGCAGTGCTGTCCAGGCCCTGTTGGCTGTCGTCTTTTTGGTCGTGTACCCGCGTTTCGTGGACGATCTTTTCGGAGGCGATGTGGCCCTGGATACTGCAAACAGCGGGGCGCATGCAGGACCTAGAGGATCTGCAAATTTGGCGCGAAAGCTCGTAGTCGATTTGCTTGGGTGGAGGTTGGACGACGCAAAAGCAGTCACAGAGGCCGACCAAAGAGTCGTCTTAGGAGTTGTAGCGAAAGCTTGCCCAGACGGCATTTGGTTTTGGATCGGCGAGGATAAGAAAGAAAAGTGGCTAGCTCAAATTCGTCAGGCTTTGCAGGCTAATTCGTTGTCCCCCGCAGGGGCGGCGAAGTTGGCTGGGCGTTTAAGCTGGGGTGCCACGGCAGTGTTTGGCAGGGGCGCGGGAGTATTTCTCGCGCCGCTGTTTTGGCACGGCAAATGCGGCCGCGCAGAGCTGACGCACCGGGTGCGCAGTGCACTACGGTGGTGGGAGCGATATTTGTGCTCAACCCCGTCGGCTTTTGCTAGTTTCCGGCAGCCGTGCCTTCAGCGGTGCATTCTATACACGGATGCAACTGGCGGGGGACAGCTTGCGTTTGTGCTCGTGACACCAGCCCGTCGGGTATGGGCAGCGACGGCTGTCCCGGCCGCAGCATGGTCATGGGCGTTGCCCCGACGCACGCAGGTCACGCTGTGGGAACTTCTCGCTGCGCTGTGTGGCGTGCATTTCTTCTTGCAGCAAGCCGTGGAGCACCCTGAGCTGGTGGTGTTCATTGACAACACTACCGCGTTGCAGACCCTGCTGCGCGGATGTTCTAGACAGGCCGATTTTAATACAGTATTGGGGTCGGTCTGGTTCGAGCTGGCGCGGGCGAGTGTTCTCATGCATGCTCGCTATGTGCCATCTGCGTTGAACTTGGCGGACGGCCCGACCCGTGCGAGCAAGGCCCGCGGGAGCCGCGCAACGCTCGAGAGTTTACATTTCAGACAGGTAGAATGGCCATGGCCGTCAAATCTCCCGTGGGCTGTGTGAGTGCATCGAGCGGGCTACCGAGGAAGAAAAAAATGCATGCGTTATGTGAGATTGAAGCATTTGCTGCGGATGCGTGCGTGCATGATGTTCGCCAGTGCGTTGTCCGTAGCTTTTGGCTCAGATCCAGCATTCGCGCGCTTTCGTTTTGGATGGCGCTGCGTTTCCTGAACGAGAGCAGAGAACAATGGCAGCGTCGCCGTGCTGTCCCTGGCGCGCCGTCTGGAGCAGAAGGGTCCGAGAGAAATGTGCCGCATAACTCTGTTACGGAAGAGTTTCGGGCGTTGCTCGAAAGGGCGGCTCTGGCCGCGAAAAGACCTTTCCCAGCTCCTGGCGCGGGGGCCGTGGCTGAATCTCTGCAGAAAGAAGGGGCCGTGGCGCCGAGCGACTTCGGCGGATTAACCGTGGGTGAAGCGGCAGAAGTGTGGTCGGCTTTGCAAACACTGGACGCAGCCATCGTTCAATATTTTCTCAAATTTTGTATGGCAGTGGCCAACCGGGAGCTTGTCCATCATAGCGCTCCTCGGGCGGCCATAGCGCATCTCAGAGGTGATCCGCGATGTGCCTTGCGCTCAAAATGCACGTCCCCTGCTCCGCCAGCCAGCGTCGCAGGCAGTCCGGCCGCGGCTGTCGAGGCTGCAGCGACCGCTTTGGCCATGATTTGTGAAGCGACAAAACTCCGCAGGCCGCCTGCTCCTTCGGTTCTGGCAGATGCCATTCGTATTCTGGGCAAGCAGGCGGCTGCGCCGCTTCCAGTGGCAGGCACGCCAACTGAGGAATTGGCACGGGCGAGAGACAACAATACTTCTAGCTTTCAGTTCGCGCAGCAGGCTTGCTGGATGGAGTTCCAAGGGTGGCGCAAGAGCGCAGGGGCGTGCGCATCAGCTGTGCAATTGTGGGGCCACGCGGCGGCTCTGACAGCGCAGCCGCCGTGGCCGCCTGCTGAGGCATCGTTGTACTGTTTCGCCACGTTGTTTCGCAACGGTGCTTCTTTGTCGAAGTATTTATCGCACTTGCGGTCCGTGTTGGCTTGGCTCAAATGTGAGGCGGGCGCTCTGAGCGACACCTCGCGGTTGGTCCGTGGTGCAGAGAAATCCACAGCGTGTGGTGTTCGCCGTCCGAGGATGCGGGCTTCTGTGCAAGATACGCGCTTGTTGTATGAATGGGCTGTGGGCGCAGGCAAGCGTGACGTGGCCATGTCGTGGGCTGTGTCTCGTCATTTTACTTTACGATATAGCGAGACACTGATCATAGGCACAGGGCTGGCGCCTGTGGCGTTCAGAAAAAAGCGTGGCAAACTTTCTTGTTCGATTACGTACATGAAACGGAAGTGTTACAAAGAGCCGGTGGTAGTTACAAGGCAGTGCATTTGCGAGGTCCTCGGCCCCAGCATGTGCGGCGTGTGCGCCCTCGAGCAATTAGAGGCGCAAGTGCGTCCGCCTTTCAGCCATATCAGGTATTCCGAGTCGCTGGCGCTCCTGAAATTGGGAGCAGCCGCTGCAGGTTTGGAATCGCCAGCAGCTTGGGGTACGCATGCTTTCCGGCGGGGCTGGGCTTCGGACGCTTTAAAAGCGGGCGGCCCGACAGCTCTATTTTATTCTGGCGGTTGGCGTGGTCTCACAGCGTTTGGTTACGCGTCCGCGAGGGCCCGTGGGGGGCTCGAAGCCGGTAATTGGTTGGCGAATTATTCCAGCTCGTCAGACAGTGCTTGAGGCTGTTTGTGCAGAGGGCAGCGGTTACTGTTCAAAAAGCCATCGTCGTCATCCATCTGGGCTCGCTGGTGCGCGGACAGGCTGTGCCGCGTCCGCTTGTGGGTGGTGTGCACGCTCTTGGTAGCATTGGGCTTGGTGGCGTGACCCCAAGAGCGGCGCAACCACGCAGCAGGGCACCTCTCTGTGGCACTGTTACTGCGGAGGCCGCCGAGGAGATTTTCTCAACCCTAAAGCACTTTCATGGGTGGGAAAATTGACGAAAGGGCTGGAGCTGCCCGGTCTGGGTGCTCACGTCTTGGTTGCCTCCCAGGGGGGCTGCGGACTGGCCGCCTGGTGCGGCGTGCTGCTGCTGCTGCGGCTGTTGCTGCTGCTGCTCTGCCGTCCGTCGGTCGCTGTCGTCTGTCTGTTGGTCGTGTCTGTCGTGTGTCCTGGGCCTGGCTGCCCTGTCCGGCGGCGGCGCTCTCGGCCAGGCTGCCGTGGCGGCGTTGCCGTTGGAGGCCCCTGTGTGGCCTGGGGGTTTCTTGCTCCGCGCAGTCCTGTTGGCCGCAGGTGGTGGTGGGCTCCGTGCGGCTGTGCCCGCGCTGGCCGTTTCTCCGTCTTCCGTTTTCCCCGCCCTCCCGCCCTCGGTGGAGGTGTGTGTTCTCGGTGGTCGCGTGGTTGTGATCGCGGGCTTGGTGGCGTGACCCCAAGAGCGGCGCAACCACGCAGCAGGGCACCTCTCTGTGGCGTGACCCCAAGAGCGGCGCAACCACGCAGCAGGGCACCTCTCTGTGGCACTGTTACTGCGGAGGCCGCCGAGGAGATTTTCCTCTGGCCTCTCCAACGAGCTCGCGGTCCACCTTGCTGAAGTACACGTTCCACTGGGGGTCACCCGATTCGAGAGCCTTCGCCATCGCAGTGCGGGCGAGCACGTCGCATTGGTAGGCCGTGCGGGCGCCCCCGTGTTCCTCGGCGATCTTGGACAGCAAGAGGGAGTACCCCAGGATCTTCACGGGCGTAGCCGCTTTCATCATAATCAATTTGACGCCCCAATCCATCAGGTGAGAGTGGAACGCCGCGTAGCCGGGGTAGTCCACCTCTGCTGCCGCCCGGGCCCGCTTCAACTCGCTCATCTGGCGGTGGCGTTCGCCCACGGTACCCTCGCCCACTGGGACGTCGACGCGGGGGATTTTCGACCAAGCCGGCCGGAAATTCTTTTGGAGGTCCTCACCGTCGGCGCTGCCAACGTAGAGCCTCCCCTTGTCCCTGGCGACCCTGCCAGCCGCCTCGAACACGGCCATGTTTTCCTCCGAAGGAAAGCCTTCTGACGGGGAGGCGGCCATCCCAACCTCTTTCTTCCGCTCCGCCAAATCAAAGGACAAGGCTTTCACAGAGCGTTTGTGCGTGGCGGCCTGGGCTTCCAGGTATTCCTTCATGGTCTCAGCCAGCGTGCTCTCAGGCGTGGGGAGCGCAGGCTCAGTCCCAGCGCATTTCCTCTGCACCAGGAGGGCGAACACGACTTGGGCCGGAGCCACAGTCCAGTCGCGGAACACTTGGCTCTCGCCTTCCTTGTCGTAAACCTTCTCCCCCGGCCTGAAGCCAGCTTTGATCATATCCCGCATGGTGTCGTCTGCGAAATCTACGGGCGAGATGGACCCCATGAGGTCGCCCAGAGCACGCGCGACAGCGAGGTACCAGAAGAGATCGTGTTTGGCTTTAGGGGCGTCGTGCACACTCAGCACGAACTCGCACCACTCCTGGACGCGCTCTGCACTCGCACCGCCGAGGCTCCCCTGGGGAAGGGCACCCACGAAGCTTGCGACCTCAGAGCTGGAGTAGGACGCTCGGACTGCGCGTGTGTCTGGGAAGTGACGGAGCAAGTCTCGCAGCAGAGCCAGCACAATAGTCTCGAGCCACACTGCTTACGGAAAGAGGCGGCCGCAGTGACGCAGATGCCTCAACTACGTGCAACGCAATCGGCGCCTGGCCAGGACAGAGGGGGATGCGGCATGATGGTGGTGATTGCGAGCGCCAATTTTTTGGCGATGAGGGCCACCCGGCGATTGCGCCAGGGCGCCAAGCGAGGGGGCTTACGCACTTCCCACGCTACGAACCTGCTGCCCTGCAGGCCAAGGCCCGAATCCTGCTGCCAGGCAGGAGTGCGCCGCAAAACACAGAACGCGGACGCGGCGAAACGGCGCGGCACACATACACACGAAACTGGCAGCACGGCCAGGAATCTGCCAGTTACGGCAACGCTGCCCCTACCGTGCAACCAGCTGGCCGAGCACAGCGCAAGGTTTTGAGCAGCACGGTCGGGAGCAGGTGTGGCAGCACGGCCAAAGAACCGAGCCAGGAGGCCGCACGGCCAGAAACCACCCAGAGATGGCGGCACGAGCAGAAAACCACGATGGACGGCTGGCCAGGTGCGGCCCAACGTTTCGCGGACAGAAACCTGCAAACAAACGCAGCACGGCGCGAGGGTTTGGCAGCACGGCCAAGAGCCCGCGGGTTTGGCAGCACGGCCAGGGACCCAACACAGGGGCTCAACGGCAAGAAACCGCGACGAATGTGCCGACAAGGCCGGACAAGCGCGGCGCGAGGGTCTGGCAGCGCGGCCAAGGACCCCAGGAAGGGAGAGCACGCCCACAAAACCACGACACCTGGCCCCCTGAGCGCCGAGGACACAAACGATTTCCGCTTCACACCACAATCCCTTGGCAGCTTTCGTGGAGCCCCGGGACCACCGAACCCCCGAAGCCCGTGGAACACAGACAGGGCGACGCGAAGCGTGCGTAAGGGAAATCCGCTTGCCACTGGCCGTGGCTCGTCGGGAGTGCTGCGTCTGTCGCAGGCCACGGCGGCGCACCCGACGAGGGGCGGCCACCAACTCCCCGAAGGGAGACGGATTGCGACCAGCACGACACGCCACACAGGGTGGGCGGGAGGGACCGCGAGACGCGCGGCACCACCCCCCGGGCCTGCGCGCGTTGAGGTAAGGAGAAGAGAAGGAGGAATTTAGGAGGAGAATGGGTGTCCGCGAAAACCTCGTTTCCCGAATGCATAGCCTCCTAAGAAACTACGCTTTCCGCTTCACACCACAATCCCTTGGCAGCTTTCGTGGAGCCCCGGGGACCACCGAACCCCCGAAGCCCCTGGAACACAGACAGGGCGACGCGAAGCGTGCGTAAGGGAAATCCGCTTGCCACTGGCCGTGGCTCGTCGGGAGCGCTGCGTCTGTCGCGGGCCACGGCGGCGCACCCGACGAGGGGCGGCCACCAACCCATGCGAGGCCCACAGTGCACAGTGCAAGCGCGAAGCGCGACGCAGATATGGTCACCTGACCTGCCGGGAGTTCGACAGGAGATTTTCCTTTACAGTCCTGATCGATCAAGGCAGTTCTCTATAACAGGCGCTGCCAAACCGGCCTGCTCAGATTAGGCAAGCTGTCTGCCGGCCGAGGCGTGGCTGAACACGCAGCCTGCGCTGCCTCCAGGAGGCGCTGCTTCCGAGCGTGTGCGGAGAATTTTGTGTAAAAATTCCGCATCACGTCCAGAGATGCCCAGCCGCCCTGGCCCTGCGCGAGTTCCTCCGGCAGAGAAGCGGCGTGTTTCCACCACTGAGCGCCGCCCTTGCGCAGGCTGTGCGTGCCGATCTGCGAATCGTGCATGTGGCGGGACAGCATGCGCCTGAATGAGTCCGCAGAGACTGGTTTCAAGGCCGCTATGCCTGTGACACAAAACAGCACGCCGGTGTCCTCCTGCCGCAGCGCCGCCCTCTGGGACACCCAAGCCCGGAACAGCTTCGCAGGGCACAGGGGCCCGAGCGGCGGCAGCTCGGGGATCCAGACGAGCAAGCCCTCGCCGAAGGGGTCGTTTTTCTGGCGCCGGATCCGGCATTGTATTGCCGTGCCTTGATCTTCGATGTCTTCGAGCTGAAGTGCCTGGACTTCTGCGAAACGCCGTATACCAAAGAAGGCGAACCCCGCCATAGCAGCGTCCCGGATGCTCGCAGGAGAGACCTGTGCGAGACGCTTGCGCTGTACTACCCCCAACTCTGCAAGAGAGATTGGCCGCTTAGCACGGCGCAAAGAATGGTCTGCAAGCTTTTTCAATCCGCGCCAGAACTGCCATGCCCGAGGCGCCCACGCCCGCTCGAAAGTATGCAAAAGATCTCTTTCGATATGCCATGCTCGGACGGCTGCTTTTGCTGCGGCGACGGAGCCCCAGGGCTGCCGCGCGAGCGCCGAGAAGATGAGCATCAGTTTCTCGTCCGAATCGCAGGGGAGCAACGGCAACTGGGTGTCCAACTCCCGCGTGCTCACCAGACCCCGCAGTGCAGCGTCGTAGCGAACCCTTGTGCTTTGTTCCCAAGCGGCTTCCAAGCACTCGCGTATGCACGCAGCAGCTGTTTGGCGCGCCACGAGCGTGGTCGGGACGCAGTCCTCTGCCAGAAAAGGTAATTCCAGCTGAGGCCCCTGAAGCCTTCGATCGCCATGGCTGTCCGGTGGGACAAGAGAACCGCCCTGTGCGGCCCTGCTGTTGGCGATGAAACCCAGGAGCGTCTGCGAGCCGCCGCCGCCGCTGCTAACTCCCGCTTGCCGCCGAGAAGGCAACGGCGGGTCAGGGGGCTCGGCGTGCACCAGAGCGACCGCTTCCGGGCGCGCGCCCTGCCGAGGGGACGCCGGCGCGCGCACAACAGCCACGGGCGCCAGGATCAGCTCTCGAGCGGCGGAAGAGCCCACGGGAACATTGTCTGCGAAATCATTCCTGTGAACGTGGTCTTCCATAACTCGAGCCTCCCTGGCTACGGAGAAGCGATATAAATAGCTCGTTCACGAGGGAACGAAGCGGCACACGTGAGCGGACACTCCATAGAGGCAATTTTTCACAAGTCTCGGCACGCTCTCGGTCGCAATAACAGAGCGGCGTACGAGATGCAATATGGAGCTGTATTTCGCAAAGGTTACGTACACGAGAGGCCGTGCACGGAAGAAATATGAAAGTTGCTGGGGGCGTATCCCTGAGCAGGATGGCTACCGTGAGTCAGAAAAGC